GGAGTTTGATCCTGTGTTACCTGTAGAAGTTGCTGGTGCAACCTGGAATAAGAAGCTAATTCGGGTGTGCGATGATGGTTCATCATCGTCACTTCCTTCTAGTTCATCATCGTCACTTCCTTCTAGTTCATCACCGTCACTTCCTTCTAGTTCATTATCGCCACTTTCTTCTAGTTCATTGTGCTCTCTCCTAACTCATTGTCATTGCTTTTTTCTAATTTATCATTATCACTTCTTTCTAGATTATCGTCGCTGCTTCCTTCCAATTCACCATTACCATATCCTTCTAATTCATTGTCTCTACTTCCTTCTAATTCACCACCAATTTTTTCTTCTAGTTCAAATTCTGGCGTTTCTAGTTCAGAACCTACAACGATAATAATCCCTGTTAATCTACTCACTTATTGAAATAATCTAATTAAAACTGGTATTTAAACTTAGTGTTCTCAGAATTCTCATGAGAACATTATTATAAATTTGTACACAGTTTAAATTTTTTACTGTCCATTATTAAAAATCTTTTAAGAACAGTAAAATAATAATAGTGTTCTCACAAGCATATAGTAATTGGCTACAAACATTGTCGCGCTAGGCCAGAAGTTGATGAATACAACTAATCGCAATATAATGATAATTTGATACGAAGTAGTTGTATTAATTCAATACTATTTTAAAAATAACTATTTATACCTTTTTCATGATCCAACGCACTCTTTGACAAATTAGTAGCGAAATGGTTTATTAATATAGAAGGTGAAGAAATGAAGATGTAATTTTGGATTTCAAATTCGTTATGATGTAAATGTTCCATGTTAAGTAGTGAGGTAGGTGTAGATATATCTTGAAGTTCTTTTTCTTGTTGCCGATGTCTTGTACGAGTAGAGACGATTACATATTTTCCAACATTATTAGATGCACTTCGACAAGATGTACAAGCACATAAAACTTGTTTTCCTATTACGATTTAATTAATTGTAAAAACAAGCGACTAGTATAAAGTTAATAAGGTGGCATCATATACATAAATATGCAACTATAAATTATGCAATCACTTCTTAATCACTTCTTAATCATCAAGTATAAATTTTATTGATTAAAATAAATAAATCGCTTTTATATGAATAAATCTTTAAATTCATTAAATATTTTTTTTTATTGCAAAGGGTGCCTGCTTTAACGATACAAATAACATAATCGTTCTAGAAATAAAGATAATAACGAACATGGAAGCAAACCAGAACATTGCGTTATTTCTTCAATTGTTATCAAACCCGGCCCTTTTACAACAAACACTTGCAGCAGTTACTCAAAACTCCCAATCTACTATGGTGCCGACTTCTTCTGAACCAATGCAAACTCTTCTGGCACTATCAAGTGCTATCGTAGGCGTCGTCAATACATCAGTAAGTATTTTATTAGTCATGTATATTTTGAAGTTTTAGTAGATTAACAAATTATATTTTTTAGTTTCTACAGGGATCAGCACAAAACCCTATTACCAAAGAAGAGTGGAAATAATGGAAGAAGACTAAAAAGCCTGAAGAAGATTGGAAAGAATTTTTACAACTGCCTCATGATACTTACTGGTCCTATCAGGTAAGTATTTATAATTATATACTGTATTGTTCTTTTTATAGATAATAATAACGTTAAATTTACGTTAAATTTATTATTTTTTAGAGAAACCTGTGTGACAGGTTAGCAGCAAGTTGCAATAAAGGCAAATATGCATCGAAGCAAGCACCAGGCAGGATTCGGAAAATTATTAATGATGTACGTGCATGCATACTTATTACATTTCAAATTTTAAATTATTATTATTGTTGTATAGAAACTAAGCTAATTATAAACATAGTTTAAAAATGATTTTCCAACATTTCCTGTTTCTGTTAAAGACTTCGTTTTACAAAAAATATGCGAAAATATCGTTAGAAATTGGGGTACAAACTTGTATTTCTATTTATCGCTATTTTCGAAATAGTTGATAAAAATTTTTTGTGATATTCATAAAAATTTTTTTATTAATCATTTTCAGCCATTTCAAAACGGCGATAATATAAATTTTACATCCCGTATTAATGTTAAAATAATTTGCAGTGGAGACTGATCGCAAGAACAAAATAAAAGAAGCTCATTTCCAAAGTATTGCTCCTCCTCCTAAATGCAAAAATGCTATCCCTCCTCCTCCAAGATTAAAGAAGACAACTCCACCTCAATCATTGGTGACTAATTCTGATTTAGGCGACATTGATGATGAAATTGATACTCAATTGATTGCATCAAATGAAAATGAGTCTCCTTCAAGACACGATAGTTTTACCTCTTCCACTAACATCGATGAATCAGAATCACCCACCATTACACCTCGCAAAACAAAATCTTTAGTTTCTTTAAAAATCTTTACCCAACCATCTACGGCAAGGTCCAATCCAATTGAAGTCGACAGTGCCGATGTTAGCAGTGACAATGATGCATCTGAATTACTTCCCGTTGCACCTCACACAATGAGATCTTCAAAATCTTCAAATATTCCAACCGGATCATCTGCAACAAGTTCTAATGCAAATAATACTAGTGAGTACTAGAAAATTAGTATATAAAACATAAAAACATTTTGCAGCATTCGATTTTCTATATTATCTTATCGCTTACAATATTTCTTTTTAATGTATTCAATTTTAATTATATTTTCGCTTAATATATAGGGAAAAAAAGAACTTCCAGAGTAAATACTGAAAAAGTTTCTAAGAAACGGTTCAAAACAAAAAATCGCAAATAGGTAAAACGCAAAATTATATTTTGCAAAGTGCTTTATTTATCATAATATGCATGTATAATTTCAGTATATGAATCCGATTGTCTTCTATATATGTAAAGCAATACGATTATCGTTATTAGTTCTAATTTTATAGTTCCGATTGTTAGTGAAACACCTGCATGAAAAAATTCAATTATCATTATAAAGCTATTAATGTAATTAATTACTAATAAAAAATCTTCCTGATTCATATACAAAATAATCATCAAATGATCCAATCCTAACTATAAAATGATTATTGAGTGGTCCTATTACCAATAACTAAAATTTTACTGATTTTATATGTAATATAATCCAATTGTCGGCAACATTTCATATATAAAAAATCATAACATGAACCGAATTTTAAAATGAAATTATTCGAACCTGTTATGATTTTTAGGAGAAAACCTTCCTAATCCATATGTAAAATAATCATCAAATGATCCAATTATTAACACCATTTTATATATAAATAAATCATGACATGACCCGAATATTGACATGAAATTATTTGAATCTGCTATGATTTATAGGAGTGCACTTTCGGAATCTTTTTGGAATATTAATGTTAATAATCGTTCTGGAAAATGCTCATTTTCTGGAACAAGACATGGTCATTACCTGGTAATTCTCTAACAAGTCTGAAAATTTCCTGAATACGAACTTGAAAAACAATTGGATTATTGCCTGAAAATTTCTGGAATAAGAAATTCAGAATATTTTCGGAACATTTTGGTGTCATATTTTTTATAGGGAATAAGCTATGGTATGATTATAATATTTAATTTAACAAACTATCGTATGATTATAATATTTAATTTTAACAAACTATCATTGATTGTTATATGATCTGCATTAAAAATTAATTTGGATCATTTATTGATTGGTAAAAATTGAAAAATAAACAGCATCAACTGATAATCAATGTAAATTAAAAATGACGCATAACACATACAGCAAGTACGAAGTACTGACATTAGTCCTACCTTGTTACACAAAATTTCGCTAATAATTTTTGATTCATTTGATCTATAGCGCATTTAACACACTAACGTTGCAAGTACCTAGTTTAACCTTTAATGTTAATTCATTTCACGATTAAATGTATCATTACAAACAAATTGTGTATTTGTCTTGCTAATTTCAAAAGTTTCAAATCTTATGAATGTATTCTGATCATTTTCTTAGCAAAAATTAGACCTAATTAGTCTGCTTATTTGTGAAATCTATTATCATTAAATTGCACATACATAATTTAATATTGCCAAAAAGGTCAGAATTAATAATTTTTCAAGCCTCGCCTTTTGTATTTAAGTTTTTGAAGTTAGAAAGTTGTATATATTGCATATATAGTATATAAATATTTTGGTCAATTTTTAATTTCAATTTATGTTGCTTCAAGATAGCACATTATTTCAACTCATATATAAGAAACTAAATGCTTGTCTTAAAATATTTCAAATAATAAATAGCATCAGATTCGTCACCTGTCTATATTCTATTTACAGATTAATCAATATAAACAAAGTTATATAAGAAATAAAATAAAATACCTTAGATAATTACTTTGGCGTGTTGCCCTAGATCAATTATGTATTTGGAATTGATTTCCGTAAAATGTAACTTACTTTCTTGCAAAAACTAGTGGACCTTCCCTGTTTTAGGGAGTGCGCTAACCACTTATACAGATTTGGGCGAGCCTTCGGAAGTAACTTTATATTGCGTACTTACATATACGCATATTTTCAATATATCTGCAAATATGAGTATTTGCAATATATGCATATTTGCAATATATAGAGTTTGAATCAGTTTTATTTTTTAAAACTGATTTTTACATATGAAAATAAGACTGGCTTCACACTCTAGTAGTAAACTACAATGCCTACATGGTGTGTATATTTTTATTTTTTATGTATTCATGATTTTTGTTCTTTTTAACCCGAATTTTTTGCTGGGTAGACGGATTGATAATCTCTGATCATCAAAGACTGTAACGAAAGGTCAGACGAAAGAATTTTCCAATTATTTATACAGGCGTGAAATTTGTACAAATATAGACAAATTAAGATTTATATATATACATATGTTAATATTAATTTAATTTTCTTATTTAAATAAATCAAATTATACATTACATTAAAGACTACACCAGGCAGGAAATTAAAAACTACTAATGTAATACATAAACAAAGTAGCACATTAAACCAAATATTTATTAAATTCTCAATTTCAATAAATAATTTAGAAGTTTGTGTGCTTCATATCATATTTATGCAAGAATCTTGAATTATTGCATTCATGTTTTCAATATTTAAAGACTTCATTTGGTCACATAAACCTCAATATGAAGCGAATGCAAATCATGCTCGTATGCTCACTTTTAAAATTACAAATATTGCTTTCAAATCATTTTATTCCAAAAATGAACCTTATATTTGCTCAACGGGTCATTAGTATTAATTGTGGCAAACAGAAAGCAGTCACAATTAGTAGAATTCTCATCTTCCTTTTGACTATTGCTATTACTTGAACGCTTTCACAGAACACATTCCAGACGCCAGATGTCCTTACCATCTCTTATATTAAGAAAGGCTTAACAGGTTGTGAACAATAATTAAAGGCAATTCCAGAAATTCTGTGTATAGGTGCTTTAGGTGTATGTGGAAATATTATAGCAGCATGCACTGCATTGGAAGGGTTAGCAAATACTGATCCACCAGAAGCCATCCTTGAATTGAATAATGGTGGATATTTTGACAGATGGGC